GGGGGACTGTGATGAGACTGGCAGTATTTTTGGTGGACTGTGATGAGACGCAGTATTTTTGGTAGACTGTGATGAGACTGGCGGTATTTTTGGTAGACTGTGATGAGACTGGCAGTAAATTTTGGTGGACTGTGATGAGACTGGCAGTATTTTTGGTGGACTGTGATGAGACTGGCAGTATTTTTGGTGGACTGTGATGAGACTGGCAGTATTTTTGGTGGACTGTGATGAGACTGGCAGTATTTTTGGTGGACTGTGATGAGACTGGCAGTAATTTTTGATGGATTGTATTGAGATTGGCAGTATTTTAGGTGGATTATGATGAGATTGGCAGTATTTTAGGTGAAATATGATGAGACTGGCAGTATTTTTGGTGGATTGTGATGAGACTGGCAGTATTTTTGGTGGACTGTGATGAGACTGGCAGTATTTTTGGTGGATTGTGATGAGACTGGCAGTATTTTTGGTGGACTGTGATGAGACTGGCAGTATTTTTGGTGGATTGTGATGAGACTGGCAGTATTTTTAGTGGATTGTGATGAGACTGGCAGTATTTTTGGTAGACTGTGATGAGACTGGCAGTATTTTTGGTGGACTGTGATGAGACTGGCAGTATTTTTGGTGGACTGTGATGAGACTGGCAGTATTTTTGGTGGACTGTGATGAGACTGGCAGTATTTTTGGTGGACTGTGATGAGACTGGCAGTAATTTTTGATAATTTGTATTGAGATTGGCAGTATTTTAGGTGGATTATGATGAGATTGGCAGTATTTTAGGTGAAATATGATGAGATTAGTTGTATTTTAGGTGGATTGTGATGAGATTGGCAGTATTTTAAGTGAATGTGATGAAATTATTTGTATTTTAGATGGATTGTGATGAGATTGGCAGTATTTTAGGTGGATGTGATTAGATTAGTTGTATTTTAGGTGGATGTGATGAGATTAGTTGTATTTTAGGTGGATTGTGATGAGATTGGCAGTATTTTAGGTGGAGTGTGATGAGATTAGTGGTATTTTAGGTGATGTGTGATGAGATTAGTAGTATTTTAGGTGATGTGTGATGAGATTAGTAGTATTTTAGGTGGGCTGTTTACAAAAGACATACTACCTTAATTTAATGATGATGTTTGAAAAATAATGTAAACATTCTGTTTCCTGTTTTTCTTGTCCTACAGGCATCAGATGGGTGTATGTAGTATTCAGAGTCACCCCTTCGATGAACATTTATTTGCCTCAGGGAGGTAATTCTGAACTTTTCTAAAACTGTAATAGATACTTTATTCGCTTTTCTAACCTTCCATCTTTCCCATTCCATTTTTGCATTTTCCCAGTTTATCCCGAATGTTACTTGACACTGTCTCTTGTTGTTAGGATGTTGTACACTTTTACCCAAACATGTTTTGCTTTAATTATAAGGACCATTCATTTTAAACCCATTCAAGCTGCACAGTGCGTAATTGCCTGCACTGGACATGATCTTATCATAGTTATGTGATAAGTACTGTCCAGTGAATAAAAAGAACATGTGCTATGTTGCAAATGTTCTAATTGTGACAGTCGCCATGTTCAACACACATATTTACATGCCTTGCAGCACAGACAGGTTTTTAATGAAGGCTTCTAATACGGCTGTCCTTAACGGCAAAGTTTCAGCTTACATTTAACCCTACAGTGTGTATCAATATTTTTTTATACATCTGCAGATGCCTGATGTGACTTTCTTGGTTGATTTTTTTTCATCGACATGCAGTCTGTGCATATGAATAAGCCAGAAGAGAACCAATGGATGACTTGACAGAATTGGGAAGCTCTTTCCAGAAATTTTGAACCCACAAAAGATAAAGAAATAGTTATATACAAGGAATCCCTATCCATAGTCAAAGACAGATTGAGTGTATCATTGATAATGTAATTTATGATAGCCCAGAAAGCTAAATAATCATGGATTGTGTTTGACCTATAAAATCTGATGCATTGGGGTTCAAAAGGATTGTCTCAGTGCACAGACATTGCCCTGAGAAATGGCCTAACAACATTATAATTCTGCATCATGATGCTGACCTTGCACACAGGTCTGTCTTCACAAATACATTTTCGGTGACAGGAAAAAATAACACAGACAGAAAAAATAGCACAAACAGGAAAAATAACACAAACAGAAAAAATAACACACACAGGAAAAATAACACATAGGAAGATTCACATGACTCCCTCATGTGAAGGCTTTGGCCGAAATGAACAATTGTTCCTGAGTGTGATGTCCGCTCCCCCTGATGTCCGCTCCCCCCACTCCTTTTCCCTAAGCTTCCAAGTCATAATTTGTAAACAGTGAACTTACTTATACCAGCTTGATGGCAGTCTCACCCCTATTTTCATCACTTGTATAATCCTAATAACTTACTCCACACACACAAATTCAGTCTTGGAACTTAATAATTAGCCTTAATAAATTGTCAGTAATTGATTTGCTTTGATCACGAATGATCACAAAGTCATACAGTCATTCATTTTGTGAAGGCTGAATGTTATTTACTGTATACTGTTATCTCGCAGTCATTAAGGGAGAAAATAAAGAGGGATTTTGAACTGAAAGGCTATGTAAAGATTCTCAGAATTCTCTTTTCTTGGTCATATTTTGGTCATATCAAGCACCACAGCGGATTAGAAAAAAAACAGTACCAGAAGGCATGGTACAAGGAAAAAGAGGGACAGGGGCTGACCAGCACAGAGATGGTCACAAGATATAGGTTAGGCCTTGGGTAACACAGAAATTGCATCAAGCAGGAGAGCTGGTTAGAGACGGGCAGACCATGATGAGACCAACATTCTGCAAAGGACCTGCTACATAATGATGATACTGTTATCAAAGCAATGGGAAAACCTTTTTCTTATAACATTGCTTGTTAATTGTCTGATTTCCTGTGCTAATTTTTGTTTTCAGCTACGATGAAGAAATTATTGTTTGGGATCGCAGAAAATTAAAGCAGCCTCTCAGCAGTTCATCTCTTGGAGGCGGGGTCTGGAGAATAAAGTGGGACCCATTTTCTGGGAGTAAAATTCTCACAGCAACAATGTACAATGGAACACACATTGTTGATTGCTCTGATTTAGGTTTGCTTTGCCTCATTTTTAACTAAACTTGAGTCCGTTGTGTGGCCAGATTTTAAATATTTTTAATGTTAAATTAATATTTGTATCATTTTTTTCACTTTCATGACACAGAAGATTGTTTCCCAGGTTGTCAGCTAACTCTGGTTCTTCTAGCATTTTGGAAGCTGACCACACAAACAAAAATACACTGCCATTTTTTTAGTTGTGTATCCTTTACAGGACGTTGCAGAACCAACCCCAGCACTTTCTGGCTGTTGTGGTTTTTCTAGGCAAATTTACGTCCAGTAGTTTGACACTGCCATTAATGCCTCTAATTAACACTATCCACAAATTACTCAGTCAAACAGATTTCACTATCACATAGACTGCACACAGAATGTCACACTAATTATACTGTTACTGAGATTACACTGTCAGACACATAATATTGTCATTTATATTATACTGTTACATAAAATTATATTGTCAAACAAATAATACCGTCATACATATTACACTGTCGCACAGTTTAAACTTTCACACACACACAAGTTTAATTTTATTAACTTTACAAACTTTTGTGTTGACAGCTTTTAACCCTACCAGACCTGAGGCCCTGAACCTTACTGTCCCTATAATCTGAGCTCCTGGGCATTAACATGAAACAACCAATATGAAATACAAAAATATAAGTTACATGCAAACAAGTAGCTAGAATAAGATGAAACTTGGAGAAATTGTCGAAAATAGGCTTATCTTTTTATCCAGCACCAATATTCCACCTTTGTGTGCCAATCCATTCAGGAGGATCAGGATTGTTTCACAAGCACCAGATGTTGTTGTTTGAGGGACATGCCCCCTTCTCTTACTATCGATTTATTTCTAGATTTATAATTTTCAAGATTCTCCTCATTATTCGCACTGAAGGTGTCACTTCAACTGTGAACGTATTCTTCATGAAATAATGACTCTGCAGAGACTGAATAAACCAAAGTATCAATCACCTGGTGGACTGTGAAAAGCCTAGACCTACTTTACTTTCCTGTCGAAGTGCTTAGTTCATCAGCCGCTCGTTTTATTGTGATTTTTCAGAATTTTTTTCACGTAAAACAACTCAAACTTTATCCAAACACATGTAGGCGGACATCTAGGAAGACTATCCTCGAAATCTGATTACAATTGGCTAGTTATTTTTAGTCTGTGACTCATTGTTTTCCCGTACTATGCAAAAAGGCCTAAAAATAGGGCCAGCGGTTTGGCATCAGGTTAACAAATTCCCGGAAAATGGGGCCAGCAGTCTGGTAGGGTTAACTCAAGGGCACGGTTCTCCTACAGGAAAAAAAAAAATAAAGATCCCTTTCGGCCCAATACATAAAATATCAGCAAAATCCTAATAAGTTACCCTACTATACATTGTATGGAAACATACGGATGTGAGTCGTGGATTATCTCCCTGTCCTTAAGAAAGAGAATATGGGCTTTTGAGCTGAAATGTTATAGAAAGATTCTCAGAATATCTTGGACTAAGAAGAGGAGAAATACTGACATCTTGAAAGATCTGAGCATCAAGGAAGATTGGCTAATAAACAGCATCCTGTCTCGGAAGCTGAAACAGTTTGGTCATATCAAGTGCCACAGCGGATTAGAAAAAATAATGGCAGAAGGCATGGTACCAGGAAGGAGGGGCAGGGGCCAACCAACACGAAGATGGGCACAGGATATAAGTAACTCTTTGAGTGTGAAAGTACTTGAGGCGGGAGAGCTGTGGAGAGACCGAGTTTCTTTCAGGCAGACAGTGGCTAGAGCGACGTTCTGCAAAGGACCTGCTACATGATGATGACTATACATTGTATATACTTGGGGGGGGGGGGGGATGGATACCCCCCCCCCCCTTAACGTAAATGGGGCTTTGGAGCCCACACAGGAATAGTGAACAGTGTGACAATTAGTAGTTCGCCATTGTCTGTCTTTGGATTCAGTGTTGAGAACACACCTGACCCAACAAAGTCAGCTGCAACAAATGTTGTAGTATATGACTCTTAGTTGATTTTGAGAACAGTAAAAGTGTTGTACAATTTACATAGGGATAACAAAATACAGAAAATTGCCTAGTTAAAACACACAGCATCCAAATAATTATAGCCTTGTTTTGCGACTTCTTGTAGAGGTTATGTAGTTAACGTGTGTAACTAACTAGTGTGATGTCCTGTTTTAATCTTTAGGTCAGAGTTCTCTCCCCATTGTTGGCCAGTATGATGATCACAACCTTGCTTACGGTGCTGATTGGTGCAGACTGAGACCAGATGGCACATCTCGAGGGTGCGGCAAACAGTCTGCTGACAACTCCTGTACAAGCTTCACTGGAAACCGAGATTCATTTCTCATTTCAACATGTTCATTTTATGATCATTCCTTACATATATGGCAGTGGGACTGTTGCAGATAATTTCTTTACCATTAATGGAGAGCTACCATAGTTCAGTGTCTTAACACTCTTGCCTAGGAGGCTGCATGGTCTTGAGGCATGGTGTCCGCCTCTAGTACTAGAGGTTCTGGGTTCGATCCCGGTAAGGGCTGGGATTTTTTCACCTGAACCTGGACTTCTAGTAATTTTCCCTGGTCTCTGGGTAGTGAGATCGGATGCCCTTGTGCATTGTTGCGCACTTTTAAAAAAAAAATCCTTTGGCAGTTGGAAATTGAAATGCGTGGCCTAACGGCATTGCAAGGGAAAAATTTGTAGTTAAAATCTACCCAAAGTATTTCAGGATCCTCGCCGGTGCTACAGAGCCTGTGAACTGTGCTGAGCCTCTTTGGACTTAGATGAGTTAGAAGAAGAACGGAGCACTTATGGATTACTACCCTTGCGCTGTGATGTTGATCCGTTGTTCAAACCTCAAACACTCTTGCCTGTCGGCTCCAGGGTCATAGATTTTAATCCTTATCAAAGTGAATTTTTTTCTTAAACTTGTTCAGTGCCAGGCTGGTCACCATGTGTTAATTGTGGTTCCCTGCCGTACAAGTCTTTGTTTTAGTTTGCTTTCACCGGCAGAAAGACCTGGTTGTTCGTACATTTCTGGACTTTCCCTTTGTTCAAGGACCTGAGTTTTGCATGTGCACCTTGCTTGTTTGTCTGCAAAGTGTTAATTACTTGCCTCTTATGCAGAAGCATTCCAACTTAAAAGGAAGCCTCCAGTTAGTCGACCCTTACAACATGCTGGTTGGGGAGGCACTGGGTTTTTTCTTGTTTTCCTCACAATGGGACCTCGGAACCCTCAGAGGGACTGACGTACAAGTTTTTCTGAACTTCTTATTCTTCATCTGGCTGACGTTCAACCCCACCAGAACTGCACAATGAGTGACAAACACCCGGTGACACAAAGTGCCAATATTTCATTTGAGTATCACCCGGAAGCAGTTGCTAGAAAGCTCGTTCGACTTGTAGGTTATATTTAGGGCCCCAGACGACAGCCAGGGTGGGGCTTTAAAAAAAAAAAAAATGGTATCCCACATTGGGACGGGAATTAATTATTATAATTCTCCATCCTGATCCTGCTGAAAGATTAATCCTTTCTACCTAGATTATTTCTTTCGTTTCTTTTGACCCATACTGTTATCATTTGAATCCCTTTATACACAAACATTTATTATTTTAAGCTGCAATTGTGTAGGAATAAGGAGTTGAAGAAATACATGTCTGGGGCTGAAAGCATTTATTAGAGCACCTATTCACCTAGAGGACTTGACATCAAAACAGTTTTATCTGATATCTCAGAGTTACAGCCCTTGTCTTCTAAGTCTTTTTTTTCTAGCCAGCATTTATTTCCGGTGGCCACACATTTGTCGCGTATTCTACTGGCCAGACAGAAATTTGATTTCTATCGAAGATACATCAGTTAAGTGATTTTTTGTATTCTTCTAGTATTGTAGATTTATGTGTGCGGTGATGAAGGCTGTCATTTCTGTCTGTGATAGTGTGACGCTGACAGGTATCTCTTTTTATTTTGTTTGATCCTTTCATGAAAGAGTATATGACCTGAGCTTCCGCATCAGTTCAGCCTACTGTGGGTACCACAAATGTACTGGCGAGTAAAGGCAGCTTGTGTGATATTGATCACATGACCTGTCAGATGTTGATTAGTCTATAGAAATATTCGACTGGGACCATATGCCTAGTAGATCTGAAAATGTGTGACTAGTTTCTTTACTGTTTGTTCTAAATATTCCGTAATCATCATTACATGCAGTCATTTGTCTTTTTTTTTAAAATTCGATTGCAGTAAAGTGCAATTATCTCTCATAAAATAAAATTTGATTGGAACAAAGTGCACTATTTTCTCATGAAATTTGATTGCAATAGAGCACAAGTATCTCTCAGATTTAACTTTTCTTCTTTATTTTGTCAATGTTCTTTAACTCTGTAAGAGAATATAAAACAAGCTAACAGTCTTGAGGACGGGACTGTTGTGGTGGATGGATAATCTGTGGACCAAGCTAATACACTAAATACTCTACAAGAAGTATGATGTTTACACAAAGCAGGTGATGACTGTGAATCTGCCAAATAAAAACGGATGAAAGAAGACAAAAGCACTATGCAGAAAACCAAAGACGGAGAAGAATAAAGCAACACAGAAATGATGTATTCAGTTGCTATACAGTGAGGGATACAATGAGGAGAGTTTCACACATATGTCAGAGCTTCAACTGGCCAGACAGGATTTCTCTTAGAGATAGTTGAGTATTTTGTGTATTTTTGTTTGTAAATAAAATATTTCCTATTTATGTATTGTGCTGATGAAGGCTTTCTAGCTACAACGTTCACTTGTCATTCGTGATAATCAATCTGAAGCTGACTGGTTATACTTTTTGTTTGGTTTGATATCTTTCCATGATACCGAGGAGAGGATCTGAGCATTTATGGATGAATGATTTGATGCGCAAGGAGGAGGATCTGTCAACTAGGTATAGTTCACGAGAGGTGAAATTTAATGGATTCTGACAAGACACTGTTACGATCATGACGCTGGTATATTTTTAGCAACTACCTTGATCTCATGTTCAACAAACACATAGTTGGCCTCTTTTGGATATTTTCTCCAGAGAATGCTAGTTTGTTGGTAAATTAAGAGTCAGATAGATCTGCTGAATCTGCACCACTTGGTGGTATATTGGTGCACGGAAAACTAGATCCTTTTCTTTTTCTTTACATTCACCGGCTGTAAACTCCAGTGGAAAGTTTTGGTTGTTTGTTCACTTCTGGGCTTTTAGTCTTTTTCCGGAACCTGAGTGTTGCATGTGTATCTGTATGACAAATATAACTCATTTGCATGCAGCTGTTGGTTCCTTTTTTCTCAGGCAGGTGCACTCCGACTTCGACAGAGGTTCCCAATTAATCAACTCTTACGACATGCTTGTGGGTCTGCTCTTGTTTTCCCTATAACAGGGCCCGTGAACCCACACGGGGAGGCAAACTAGATGTTATAAAGACCCTTTGGGAGGAAGTAAACAGTGTCAGGGCAGAAATAGATCATCCCGGTCTGATTTGATCTTGATGATCTTGGATTACCAAGATCATCCCAGAAGAGAATGATGCAGCGAGGAGTGACCAGCGAATCTGGCTAGTACTCAACACGCAGGGTAAGAGCGAGACAGACATACAATCAGACTAATACTTATTCCATCGAAATTGGAACTCAGCGCTTGCTGCTGATAATGTTGGGGACAGAGCACTTATAGGAACGAATGACATGAGTGTTGTGTTGTCGGTTCTTAACTCATACCTTATATAAACACCCACACATTTTAATAGCATGTGTGATTTTTGCATTCACATATTTAGACACTCAGGGCAGAAGCTCTGACAGGCAGATCGGCAGCGTCTGCAGCATGCCGTGTTTCAAACGAATTGTTGTTATCTTTTCTTTGGAGTAGTTAACGTATAACGAGGGAGGGATCACTCTATATAGATAACCCAGCGTCTCTACAATACTGTCCAGGTTTTATGCACAAACGGACAGTACAATAGAACAGAGAATCCACACATTGAAAGATTATTTCAAAGGAAACGGGGGGGGGGGGGGGGGCAGGAATATGAGTAGAGGTTTGAAAGATATTCAACACTGAGAGGGATCTGTCTGTCTTCTTTTACCCCACCAGGAAGGACATCACACAAGCCATAAACAAACACCCGATGACACAAAGTGTCACCATGTGGATGAGGATCACCCATGGAGAGGTCCCGGAAACCGCGTTCAGCCATTAGGCCATATTTATGGACGGGCTATATTGCGGTAACTGGCAAAAGCCAGATAGGGGGTCAAATAACGAAAAATTGCATTCCCCAAATAGGGATAACAAGGTTAACTGAGAGGGAGACACAGGCGGACTTATAATCAGGTTGTAACTGATACTATTTGCATGTCATCTCGTCATTGGCTACTGAAGAACGGGACGGAGCACTGTGGGAATGTGCCGAGTACGGTGATGTCAATTCTCAATACGAACCGAACAGAGGATGTACCTACACGAGGAAACAAAATCAGAAAGATAAACATAAGAAGAACCAATTGGGACACGAAGGAGTGGTCTAGCTATTAGGATAGGAACATCAAGCTGGCACACATAACCACAATCTTAGCCACGCAAGTGGCGCAAATAAATCAAAACACAATTATAACCGGAGACTGTTGGCGGCTGGCCACCTACTGAAGGTTGAACGTGGAGAGTAAAAAGTAAAAATCCCTTTTCACGTCTTAGGCGCATTGGGTATCTGGGAAGAACGTTCCATATTTTTACAGACCAATCGGCACTGGATGGGTTATGTGGCCAGCATTACGCCGGCCGTCTTAACTTTTCCAGAACAGCCATTCTGGTACCATTTTAGGTACCATGATAAAAATCCACGCATGAACGTGGAGAGGAGGAACTTTATTCTGGCCTTAATTGTCCCACTTGTTATCGCTATGGGCTGTGACCCCCCCCCCCCCCCCCGCCCTTCTTTCCCCGTCCCCTCTCTATAGCCCAGTACTAACATTGTGAGAAGTGCCAGCAATAACTTTTTGGACCCTCACGAACACTACGGAATTTCCTGCACTGTGACGAGATTCTGCAGGCTCAAAGACCCCGCTGCCTACACAGCAAAGTGGTATAATAAAGGCCGTAACTGGCAGTTTTGGTATCCGTTTACACGATGCTCAATTTCCGAAAAAGAGAAAAAAATTGACAGGCATAAATATCCAAGCTAACCGGACAACGAATGCCCGCAAAAGTCGGATGTGTCGCCGAAAAGTGCAAATATTGCAGCCATGAGCACAAGACGTTTACATCTTCTGATAAACGTGGAAGAAGAAAAAGAAATTACTTCTACTACTACTTTACAAAGTAAACAGAAATTACTTCTACTACTACTACTTCACAAAGTGAACAAAACCAATTAAAAAAAAAAAA